TCCGCTTGTGGTGACACTGGCACAGTCACGTCTGTTATCACACCTCCTGTAGACACACACACAGTGCCTCGGTTTGCAGGGTAAGGAGGCATCCCAAATAGCTGAGCATCTTACAGCTCACACTCCTCTAAAGTGTTGCCCATGTTTCTCCCCCTCACCCCAAGCCACCAGTTCCTGCTGCTTTCCTTACATCATGTGAACCCTCTGTCCACTTGCTGAGATGAACCAACTCACTAGGCATGCAGCCAACACAGTTTCCCACTGCTCTGGTGAGCTCATTCAACATGCCAGGAGGTAAGCCAAGAGCCAAACCTGGCACAAGGGAGGAGATGGGAACACACTGCTGGAGGCAGAGGATGGGAGGATCAAGGATGGGTTTCTCCAGGGCAGCAAGCTATTCCACCGGATGAGAGGAGTTAAGAAACCTCACTCTCTGTTGCAATAAAACCTCTTTAACAAAATGGGACTTATCAGACAACCGATCAGAAATTTCAGGGGGAACTGATTATGGTAAACCTCAGGAAAAAAAAGCAGGGTTTTTTTAATTGCCAGGTGTGACATGCACAAATCCACCTTGTTCACACAGCCTGCATGCATTTACATAGGGAGATTTGGGATTTCTGCTAAGATTCCTTTATGTTTCTGGAGCTGCATGCAAGCCAGCTGCCTCAGCAATCAGGAGGATTAGGTTTAAAAAAACAGAAAGTAGAGATCTGAACTTCTCACGTAATATCTCTAACACTTGAAGCTTTACAAAGGAGGCTAAATATCATGAGACTACTGATAAAAGTCAGAAGAGTTGGCAGTTTTGCAGACATTTATGGGCTTGGCAACACATTTTTCTGTTTTTAAGTGAAAACAGACAAACCAGTGCACATGCTAGAATAACGAACATCTTGGCACATTGCAATTACAATACTGGAACAGACCACTATTCTGTTTTAATGGATGCTTTTGAGAAAAACAATCCCCTATGTTCAGCTCCCTGTTACATTTATTCTCCAAAACTCTAGTGCCAAAAGCTTCCCCATCTTCTCTGTGGGCTTTCCAAACACAGTTCACCTCCTGTGAAGCACCACAAAAATACAGCTGCTGTCGAGCAGCTCTTCGCCTTGCTAAGATGGGTTAGAGTCACATCACAGAGAAATGGCAACATGCAGTGCCATAATTACATTCAGGCAGCACTGGGAGAGGGTTTTTTTAGACTATAACATCATTGACTTTCTAGTCTTTCGCTTCCATTTAGAAACTACATGAAATATTCTGTGGATAATCTAGCATTGATCGAAAAACAATCTGGATTTCCATAGCACAGTACCACATGCAGAAATCTTCCAGCATATAATGGCAATATCGCCACACTAGCCTGTGATGAATTGGTGAAAAGGAGTATTTTGTTTGAGTCCCAGCAATATTATCAGCTAATTGTAAGTTAAATTTTGCTATAAAAGAAATTGAAAAAAACCATGATAAAATCTTGGGTGTAAAGGTCAACTATTACAAAAATGTTTCACCCTAACCAAATCACCAATGGAGGTTAAGGTTGGAAAGACTCAGAGCTCCAGGATTAGTACAGCTCACACAGTAACAAAGGCTTACCAAACTTTTAAGCAGATTCTGAAAGTGGGAACTAAAGTTCTGGGAAAATCGCTGATACAAAATCTGCTGTGTGCATAAATGAGAAGATGAAACAAGTATTAGTTTTCTCAGAAACTAAAAATTTTAAGATACCAAAAATTAAACAGGAATTACTCTCACCAGTTAACAGTAACTTTTGAGCATGAACAAGCAATACTTAAGAAAAGATCTTGCAAGGGTTCTCAAAAGCAGTCTACTGACATAACTGAAATATGTGAAAATAATTCAGCTAAAAAGTGTCTGGTTTGGCAATTTATATATTACTGTGCTGCATTCTAAGATGACACTGCATACAGCCTTGAGTCTTTCCACTTTACAGCATCCTCTCTAACCACATGAGAGTGTTGAACTTGTCCTACTTCATAAGAACAACAGTAGAGTCGCTGTGTTCTGATAATGTGGAAATGGTGAATTAGTGTTGGAGCAAGAAAAGTGAAAGACAAAACACGAACCCGGAGGAAGGCGGGAGGGAATACTATGTTGCTGATCCGGCTGGGAAGGCAGAGTGATGATTTAACACTTGTTAAAGGGAGAAGCAGACTGACGCTGCCACTACTAGGGCACAGCAAAGGGAACTGTACAACCTCCAATTCCCTTCTACTGCTGCTTTCCACACGTGTAACTGCATAGGGACAAGGTCTACACATAACTGCAGCTCAGGGACAGCCACAACTCAATGGATTATTCACTATGTACCTGCACCCTTCCTACTCCTTCTGTAGCCCATGTACAGCAGCTCTACCTGTGATGGAGCTGTTAGGAAATTCTAGTATGAAAAAGACAACTACTGGGTGACATGCGTGTCACGTAGCTCTCATGTGAGCTGTACTATTCACTGCATTCTAATTTAATATCCTTAAAATCTTCTAAAACAGCAGTTAAAATTTAAACAGGCATTCTGAAAAGACACTCTTGATCCCATTATCAGCATCGTGGACGGGATTACAATGAGGGTGGTAATGGTGGAAATGTTTTAGGAGAGATCTAGTATCAACAGCAGGAGTGGCCACTAATTGGATTCTTTCTGTGTCACCGCAGAGTTGTCACGGGACCCTCGTTCTCTGTTGAACACTGCAGCTCTCAAGTAGCTCAGAAAGGAGCTTTCTCAATTGTTATCACATCAGTCTGCCTTCCCACTCAAACACAAATCCCCCAAAGCTCTTTCTAAAGCTAAGGAAATCATGGAACCCATGACTCCCATGACATCTGCAACAAGTGTCCTGACTCGCCTGGGTAAGAATGAGTCCTGCCATTACACAAAGCTCAAACTCCTGATCCTGCATGAACGTTTGGTCATATATATAACATCAAGTGCAAGATGTAAGTTAAACAAAGCTCGATAAAAAAATCTGCAAACTGTCAAAATAGTCTGCAATGAAGTGTTCTTGCCAGAACAGAATTTGCAAATCATTCAAAATATTTTTTTCCATAGCTGTCTAACTTCCACTGAGTGTGGGTTTTATAATGGCTTCCACATTTAGGAACACTGTCCCCAACATTACAACATTTTAAATGTTTTTATCAGTTTCTGACTGGAATGAGAGCTGTTACAATAATTTTCACACTGTTACTTGCCATCTCTAGGATACTTCTGGATTTCTACATGCAATTTTTTTCCCTAATGACCTTTCATTTAGCCTGCTTTTTGAAGGTGTATTTACATGCCATTTGGAAATTCACCAAGGGAGCTTTTTTCAATGTGAAATTATACCAATCATAATTCTTTTTTTTCCTCTGAAACAGAGACAAAAATAAATGAAAGGCCAAGGAGACATGCCAAGCATCAGAAATTGAAGTTGCATATTATGATGGAACAAGCTCACCCACCTCGATTATAAAGTGCTAAGAAGAGGAAGCCCCTGACAAGCAATAAACTGACACATAATTAAGACAATTCAAGGCAGAACACATTCTGGCTGGAAAACATTTTCTCGTGCTCTACCTCACTGCTCAGAGCAGTGAGAGGGAAAAAAAAAGGGTGACACTTTGAAAACTCTATGGAGACAATAAGTATCCCACCTAGTCTTCTCTAACTGGCAGAAAAAGAAACACCAGCTTTTGTGCAATGCAGGTTCCCTCACATCACAAACAGAGTTGATAGTACAGACATGCCTGGTATGTTCAGCATTCCATATCAAGCAAAGATGAATTAGCCGCAACAAAAATGTGTTACAGCTTTCATGCAGCAGTTTATGGATCTTTTGTACCTCTGGAATTTTTTACCTTGAGCACATTGTGGAACTTGTACTGGTCTCAGATCTTTTCCTTAGATTATTTTTATCTTGCTGTGAGGAACATCTTTGTGAGTTCTGAACACTTTTACAGCTGCTAGGATGCTAATGGGAACTTCATGTGTGTACCCAGCACAAGTGCTCTCCGGGAAAAAAAAAGCCAATGTCAAAGGAAGGTATGTAGAAGTCACCATAAATATGTCTTTGAATGTTTACCATCTGGAACAGTAGATTACATTTTGACAAGAAGCTGGACTGCCCTGTGGGCATTGTCTTTTAAACAGCCCCATCATTATAAAGGAAGGATAAACATGAATTGCTGTTCCTAGTTTCTCAGCAAGATTTTCTGGCAGTGCTAGAGAAACTAGATTGGCTTTTTTTCCTAGTAAAACAGTAACAAGCTGGGCATGTGTAGTTAGCTATGCACTTTCTTGAAAAAATATGGTTTCTTATAGATCATCTGATCTGTGGTCTGATGATACCCACAAAGAGGGATGCATTTCAGTTAGGCAATGATAGCAGCAGGCTGTGCAGCTCACAGTGCTTGCACCTTAGCTTTGCTGGGAAGACTAAACCTCTGTGTGCTGCAGCTGGCATGTTGGGCTTCTCACAGGACACACTGAGAGAAAGAGGAGAAATCCAAAACACAAGGCTTTGACATAGAGTCATAATGAGGTTTTCCTTTGGTTTTGTTTTTCATTTCAAGCTTGCAAAAGTTTCCATCACTTTTTACAATGAGAAAGTGTGGACTGAGAGAAAAATCAAACCAGTCAAATTTATTCACATAAATCCTGGTCTGGTTATGCAGTCATTTTAGGGATTTAGCTAATTCTCTGTTTTCAAATTGCTGTGGATGATTTCTGAGGACACATTCATACTGAAGAGTGTGTTTGAAAATACAAACTGAGAACACCCTGTAAAGGGGCCAAATTGTTCAAAAAAGAAAAGTTGACAAAAAAGTTGGTTTAAGGCAAAAATGTATCTGCAACTTGAAACATGGGTTTATGGGCAAAGCTACACAGTTGAAAGCCAAAATCACAAAGCACCAGCTATAAATCCCCTTGCTCAGCCTACTAAACAGATCTTATTTCAGAACACATTATATACTGTATTATTTATAGAATATCTCACCTGTAAGTGGTGAGGACAGTGTTAGATTTGTTTCACAAGTAGGAGGCCAATAATTCATAAGCACCACAGGTATGTGAGAGTTAGTGCGAAGATCTGTTAGAGTGTGAAACAAACAAATAATTTTGTTACTCTGCACAGGAAGAGTAACATATGTTATATGCTCTGTATA